CTTCCTTCCTTCCTTCCTTCCTTCCTTCCTGAGTAAAGCTGATGCAAGATCAAATCTCTCTCTGAATACCGCACAAAACATATCCTAAAGTTCCTAAGTGAGTTTTTCTTTCTTTGTGGTAGAATCACATGCTTATAATAGCCTCATTTACCATTAGCAGTTTTCATTCTGAGACTGGACATAGTAAATGTTCAATAAGTGTTTGTTAAATGAATTAATCCATGACGTTATATCCTAGGCATAATTCTAAAATTTTAATAATGTGCTTTTCTTGGTGCGCATTGGTGATGAGAGCCTTGGTCCCCAATTTTAAATTCCAGCTCAACTCTTTGTTTACAAATATGACAACTGTATTGGGAAAATCATTTTTAAATCCTTCAACTGTCTTTGAACATTTCACAAAATTAAATTTCACTAGATTCTGTTGCAGTGAAACACTCATTGGCAATTCTTTTTGCCTCTAAATTCCTCTGAAACACTTGAATTTTGACCATCGATTTCACAAGACATTGAGGCATGCAATTATAAGAAAATAATGCATGCTTTTTCATGCCTGAAAAACACACTGAAGTCAAAGTGTGGCGTTGAAGCACAGTGGAAAATTTTATAGCCAATCAAATTAAACCAATAGTTTGTTTAATTTTGTATTTGCTATGTAATTGAAAGTATGGATATCTTCAACTTGCTTTTTGTTTCTATTCTGGAAACTAAAACAACTGAATAAAAAATAAATTAAGGGAAAAATATCAAACAAATAAATTGCTTTGTCCATTACTTTGTCCACATTTATATTTTGAATGGAAGGGAGAAATAGTATTAAAATTTATTCTATGAAGGGTGACCATGATGACTACAAAGCTTTATTCGGAAGATTGAAATGCCTATTGGGTTTATACTCAGGCTGGCCAGCCTTACTATCCTGCCTGTTAAAAAAAAAAAATTTTTTAACAGTAAATTTTAAAGATCTTATTGGCTTTATTCAGCAGTTCATAAATTGGGCAGCATCCAATTTAGCAGATGGAAAGGAGCTTCAAGTTGCTATACAAAATGAGAGACATTTGAGTCAGAAGAGAACAAGAACAGGGAAGTTACTCTAGTCAAAAAGCAGGTCGGTTATTACAAAGTTACTTTACCAAAAGGGTATGGTAAGGGTTTACGGGTAGATTATATGACTAATACTGATCGGGTGATTCTGGAATGGCTGGTTTAAATTTCTATTTCTTGGAGAGATGAAACTATAATTAAGTCTTGGTTTAGTGACAAGGAACTTAGCATAAATGGCTCCATTTTTGAGCCTGTTGTCTTTTTAACAGGATAGTTGACTGAGTTGAGGGGCTGTGCAAGACTGACTTAATTGTTGCAGAAGAGCTTGAGTAGAATTGGTCCACATGGGGATTCAGGTGGCAGCTTGAAAGTTTTAGGAGTTGTGGAAATCCAATGACATTTTGTGCATTGCCCTCAATACTAATGTATATTTACAAGTGGACGGAGCTTTCTCTGGGACTCTTAGGAGCATATGATGCTTCCTTCCCATGATGAAGGAAGAACCCCCTGAAATAGCAGCATGTATTAAGGATACTTGTCAAAAAATACAAATAAGAAGTCATAAAAGCATTATTTGGGCTGTAGGTATTTGCTTATAGATATATATTTGGGAAACCCCAAACGAGAGCACTCTTTCTGACATGCAGAACAATACTTGTTGGGGCAATGGGTCAGAATATTTGAAATCAAGGATGACTCAGAAAATAGAGGTCCATTGGCCACTATAATTGTAAACCACACCCTAAAGGCTTTTGAATGGTAATAGTAAATGGTATTCATATAAACATTTTTATTGTATTAGAAATGTTTACTTTTGCATATTTAAATGAATGTTATAAGTGATTCATGCCTGTATTAATTGAGAATATTTTGGAGTACACAAACCAACTAAAGTTTTTCTCTCTGGTTTACTTTGAAAGGAATGCGATGTTAATTCTGGGGCATTGACGCTTTACAATGCCTGATCAAGACAAAAAGGTGAAGATCACAGAAAAATCAGCTGATAAAAAGCAGCAAGGGATAACCACCAGGTAACCCCCTACTGAGTCTTTGCTAATTATTAACTCAGGCTGTGGCCAGTGACCAGATTAATGGCTTTTTGAGAAATAGGATAGACCTTTGACAACTGCTACTCTGGGTTACAGTGTTTACTGAAATGTTTGATCATTTCTGGAGTTCTAAAGGAAGCGTTTAGTATGTGTAGATTTCAGTCCATAAAAGCAGGCCTCTAAGAGACAATGCCACGACTAGTTCACCTGGAACCTTCTTTTGGTTGATGTTGTGTTATTCTTTCTTCTAGGGACTATTCAGATCTTATAAGACTTCGGTGCCTTTTGAACGTTCAATCAAGCAAACAACAGGTAGTGTTTCCAAGGAATGTGCATACATCAATGAAAGAGAAATCACATCTTTCCAAAGGGATCGATTTAACATCTTTATGAACAATATGTCTACCTCTCTTTGTTCTTTCACCTGTTTTGTCTTTCCTTCTCTGGTTGTTTCTCATAGCTGGTTCAGGTTCTGCCAAGACTTGGCACACACAGCCTTTCGGTCTCCTGTTCTCATGCCTGGGTCCAGCTTTAGCCTGTTCTTATCGCCATGGTCCTAATTACCAATGCTCTTCAGTCTAGAAACAGTGTGCTCTTCTAGTGAGTGCTCGATGTTCAAGTTCAGAGCTTTAGGGCAATTGATTTTTCCAAAGTACTGTTTACCACGTTCCCTTCCCCATACTCTACCTCTCCTTATGCTGCCCGCTTGTTACAGCCCCACTTTTGAGGCTTATTGCAAATTGAATCTCACTAAAGAGAGGGGAAAAGAGTGAGTTTTGGCTAATTTTTTAATAGAATTTTTATATTTTTATTAGAGAAAGAATGGTACCTCTGCTTGAATTTATCTCAAAGTTTCTTTTTTAGTTTTGCTTATGTAAGACTTTGGAGAGTTATGAGATTAAAGGCATCCATGGAGGTTTGGGGAACAACAAAGCAATGCTAACAACAACAACAACAACAACAAACAACAACAGACACTTATTGGCATTGTCAACTCATAAATGGCAGGCATGGGACTTGAACCCTGGTGGCATGGCTCTAAAGTCTACTGTGTTATTCTTGTTTAATTTGTTTAAGAGGTCATGTGGTTATAACTCAGCCCTGATGGCCATTTTTTTATATCAAACAAATATACCAGAGAACTGTAGCATTTTTATGTGTTTATTTATAGTGGAGAATGACTTTTTAATAATTTGATGGCATATAAAGGCCAAATAGTGATAGTTCATCTGTAGGGAACATTTACTATGTACCTCACACTCTACCTGCATTACCCTGCAGGTAGTTAACGAAAGTTCTCACTTTTACAGATTAGAAACCTGCATCACAGAGAGGTTAAGTGACTTTCCCAAGTTCATACAAACAGGTAATGGTGGAATACAAATCTGAACAAATATGCCATCTCTGCAGTATTTGCCTCTAACCACTGAGCTAGCTTTTAAATAATTCAGAAATTAAATTGCGTACAATTGAAAGAAATAGTTGAATAAGCACTGATCTGGAGTAAACATGGCCTTAAAATATCTTTTTTCCTATCAGTTCCTTCTTCTTTGTTAATAATGCTACAATCTCTCCCCCGCCCTCCGCCACACACACACCTCCCCAGGAACTTTTTCCTTCTTATTCACCTATTTCAGCAGTCACTCTAATACTTTGTCTACTTCTGCATTGCTTATTTATCTTTCTGGCTCACTGCTCACAAACATTCATGAATAGTTGCCTCAGATCAAGTCCATTCTTTCTTAGTAAGGTAAGCAGGATGACTCAGCATACCGTTTTGGTTGTAGTTCCCATTCTTTCTCACTGTGAGAGGTAACCAGAATGTCAGACTTCTGTTTTTCGCTTTTACTATTTCCTTCTCCCAAATTTCTTTCCTATAACATCTTACCTATTTCTAAGACTCAAATCTAATGACACCACCTCCACGAAAAGCTTTCCTTTATCCTCCATTCTGGAAGTGACTCTCTCTCTTCTCAAAGCACCTTCTTTCTCTGTTGTAGCATTATTTTCTCCCTTGTTTTGGAAACGTGTGTCTACGTGTCTAACTTCCTGTCAGAATGATCTATTTCCTGATGCCAGCAACTTTGGCTTTTGCCTTTGGTTCTCTGTATTCTATGTTCAGTGAGTTCATGGTCAGTTTTTGCCAAATTGAATTGTGTCTTAAGAATTGGGTTACCTCATGAGTATGTATAGCCCTCTAGCCAGGGTAAAAAACACCAAAGATGGTTTTTAGCTGAATTTTTCAACTTCGAAGTTCGTACTCACTACATCTATTGTTTCCTTTCAACACCACTTCCTTGTTAACTCCTGGTTAGCTTAATTAAAGGGTGTTTAATAGTCTCCCCCCGCCAACAAATTTTAGAATTTGCATTCTGTTGTCTGACAAGTTTATATGGCATATCTTTTTGTGAAATATTTCACATGTACAAAAATATGTATTTGTAATGCGTGAATTATTCAGAAAGTAGATGGTTCTAAGGAAAAAATGAAAATAACTGTGCTCATCTATATGAAGGTCCTGAGGTTCACAAAATTCATTCCTAATTGTTTATAAAACTTTTATGCACTTGTAATTTTGAAATAATAAATGTTATTCTGAAATGTTATTCTGAACACCCTATTCTCCTTTCCATCAAATAATGTGGAGACATTTATAGAAGAAAGGTATTGGAGAGAATAAGTCAATTTATTTATATTCCTTGTT